AAAAAGACCAGCCTGGAAATGTAATGAAAGCTCATCTCTACTGAAAATACAAAATCAGCCAGGTGTGGTGGCGAGCAGCTGTAATCCCAGCTGCTCTGGTGGTTGAGGCAGGAGAATTGCTTGAACCCGGGAGGCAGAGGTTGCAGTGAGCCAAGATTGCACCACTGCACTCCAGTCTTGGTGAGAGGGACACTGCCTCAAAATAAAATAAAATAAAATAAATTAGATCGATCTTCTAAACTTTTCCCAAAATAGAAAAAGATGGAACACTTCCATGAGACTTGCATCACCTTATGCTAAAGCCTTATAAGGGCATTATAACAAGGAAAAGCTCAGGTCAATCTCTTTCATAAACATAGACACAGTATCACAAAGAAAATATTGGCAAATTGATTCCAGCGATTTTCTTTACACAAGGATAAATATAAAGACCAAATTAGGTTATTTCAGGCAGGCAGATTTGGGTTTATATCTGAACATCAATCAATGTAATTCACATTAACAGAGTAAGGGAGAAAAACCATATTATTATCTCAGTAGATACAGAAAAAGCATCTGATAAAACTTGACATTCATTTATGGCTCAAAACTTTTGGCAAACTAGGAACAAAAGGAAATTTTCTAAGAAGATAATGTGTTTCTATTAAAAACCTAGGGCAGACCAGGTGCAGTGGCTCACACATGTAATCCCAGCACTTCTGGAGGCTGAGGCGGGTGGATCACCCGAGGTCAGGAGTTTGAGACCAGCTTGAGTAACATGGCGAAACCCTGTCTCTACTAAAAATACAAACATTAGCCATGTGTGGTGGCGGGCACCTGCAGTCCTAGCTACTTCAGAGGCTGAGGCAGGAGAATCATTTGAACCCGGGAGGCAAAGATTGCAGTGAGCCGAGATTGTACCATTGCACTCCGGCCTGGGAGACAGAGCGAGACTGCATCTCAAACAAAACAAAACAAACCAAAAAAAAAAAAAAAACAAAAAAAAAACCAAAAGAAAAAGACACTGTAGCACTGGGGCAAGGATGGATAGATAAATTGTATCCCCCAGGGTCCGATCAGGAGGCAGAAATCACATCAGTGTCTGCACTGGTGTGAGCCCATGAGCCTGGGTAGGTTGGTCTCTAGATTCTACATTTGGCCTCCCCCTGAATATCAGAAGCCTGTTCAGACAAGAAATAGGTCTTTGTTAGTCATTTCTGTAACCCTAGCATCACCTGCCCGGGGCACACTCAGAGGAAACACCGGGAAATTCTTCCTGAATGCATATCTCAGCAAGCCAATGAAGAGACCCCTTCCTGCACAGACCCACCATGCAGGCTTAGGAGCTGGGAGAAAGAGCTCGGTTTTCTGCTGGAAGGTAACCCCGCAACCCGGGTGGGCATGGAAAAGAAAGCCTGGGTGAGGGTCAAAGGCAGGGCTATGGCCCTGGTCCTGTCACCTGTAGATGGAGGCCAAGGGGCAGGTGAGCCACATGTTGTTCCTCCACTTGCCGGGCTGGTCAATGTCATAGATGAAGTATGGCTGGTGAATCTCCTTGACGGGGTTGCAGGGTATGTGGCATGCTTCCACCTGCAGTTCTGGCCGCATGTGGCTGGATTGCATCTTCTCATCTCTCAGATACAGCCGGCAGGGCATGGGATTTTCCAGGGGCTCCTCAATGTAGCAGTACCCCAGGCGTTTGTGCTCATCCGGTTCCCCACAGCGGTTATATTAGTGCCAGTGGTCCCAGTGGGTAAAGACAAGTACCTCGCCATCCAGGCTCAGGGTCTCATTCTGCTAGGGTTTTTGGTTCAGGTTCTTGTGTGTAACATGAAGGGTGGTAACGTCCCGGAAGTCGATTTCATACTCTACCACGAGGGTATCATCAATGCCCTGGCAGCGATAGAGGCCCGTCTGGGAGGGCTGAGGCTTGGTCAATTGGAGGCTGCCTCCAGGCAGTTGCCTTATGTAAGGCATTGAATTAAGCAGAGAAGGATCTTCCCCATGAATGGAAGAGAAGTACCAGAGTGCCATGGGATGGCCACACTTCAGGACAACATCATTGCCCGAGAGGAGGCCTCACTGGCAGAGGTTCTTGTAGGCACAGCTGATTAACATCTGGGCCCACAGAGTGGGGCAAGAAAGGCTAAGCAGCCACAGGGTGTCCGGCATGGCGGACCAAGGCTGAGGAAGGAGGCTAGGAACTCCCTGGGCCTTGTGAAGTCACTCACAGAACTTGAGAATCAGCCCGGGCAATGGAATGAACCTTGTTCCACTGTGTTTTCAGGAGTGCAATTTAGTTCATGTCATCAAGTGGCTTGTCATAGGTTGCAGGGTCGAAGGTCAAATATCCACAGGGAGCTGGACAAAATGGGTGGGCCTAAATCAAAACAAGCAAACTACAAAGGCAAATTATTGGCCTTCTACATACCCAGTATTTAATGATGGAATGGGACAAAACGACTTTATGACCATTAGAAAGAGTAAGAAGAGGCCGGGCGAGGTGGCTCACACCTGCAATCCCAGTAGTTTGGGAGGCTGAGGCGGATGGATCACTTGAGGTCAGGAGTTCAAGACCAGCCTGGCCATCATGGTGAAACCCTGTCTCTAAGAAAAATACAAAAATTAGCCGGGTGTGATGGCATGCACCTGCAGCCCCAGCTACTTGGGACGCTGAGGCAGGAAGATCACTTGAACCCGGGAGGCAGAGGTTGTAGTAAGTTGAGATGGTGCTACTGCATTCCAGCCTGGGCAACAGAGTGAAACTCTGTCTCAAAAAAACAAAAACAAAAACAACTCCCCCCAAATCTCAATAACATAAAACAAGAAAGGTTTACTTCTTATTTATTGTGCACTGATATCAGAATCACTCAGGGATCCAGGGTGATGGAGCAACTGCCATCTCAAACATTTGCAGTTTCTTCCAAGGAGAAAGAATGAGATCTCTGTAGGATTTCAGGTCTACATTAAATGCTCCGCCCTTAAGTGACACATGTCATGTCACTTGCTCACAAACCATTGGCCAGAAACAGCTACATGGCACCACCAATCCACCAAGAGAAATGGAACTCCGCTATTTCCAGGAAACTTTTGGCAAATGGCAGTAATGATTTCTATGGCTAATATCTATTACAAGGAGTTTTTCCTCTGGTATTTTCCTTTATATCATAGAGCTAAAACCATTTCCAAAATTCTCACATCAGTTCTCCCCTAATGTTCTATTGGCCAGGATTGGGGCCCATGACCAGCTCTTGTTCCTAGGATTGGGTAAGGTCAGCTTTTTCTTACCAGAAAAGCCATTGCAGACCCAAATGAAATCAGGGTTTTGTATGTAGGAGAGTTGTAGAAAAGAATGCTGATTTGGTGTAACCAACCACATCTTCCACATAGCAAAGAAACCACCTAGGAAAGAAACGTCTTAGACCAGATGGTTCATGAGTTAGTTCAACCAAACATTTAAAGAAGAATTCACACAAATCATTTTGAAACCTCCAAAGCATTGAAGGGAAGGAAACACTTCCTAACTCACTCTATGCAGCTGGTATATCCATAATACCAAAGCCAAATAAAGACATCACAAGAAAAGAAAATTATAGACTAATATCCCTTATGAATATGGATGCAAAAATCCTCAATGAAATATTGGCAAATCAAATCCATTAGCATATTAAAAGGATTACTCGCCATGTCCAAGTATGATTTATGCAGGAATACAAGGGTGGTTCAACATAAGAAAATCAATCAATGTATAATACATCACGTTATTAAAATGAAGGAAAAAAACACAAACATGATCATCTCAATACAGAAAAGGCATTCGACAAAATTCAAGACACCTTCATGATTAAAACAAAACAAAACAAAACAAAAACCAGAAAACTGCCAGGCACAGAGGCTCACACCTGTAATCCCAGTACTTTGGGAGGCAAAGGGGGGCAGATCAGGAGGCCAAGAGTTCAAGACCAGCCTGACCAATATGGTGAAACCCCGTCTCTACTAAAAACACAAAAATTAGCTCGGCATGGTGGCAGGTGCCTGTAATCCCAGCTACTCAGGAGGTTGAGGCAGGAGAATCTCTTGAATCTGGGAGACCAAGG